CATTGCGGGTGGTCACGATAGGATGCGGCTCTACATACTCCTTTGTTCGTGATACTACTCCTTCCAAATCTTCGTCCAATAGGTATTCCCCTTTTGCTCGGTGCCGCATATTGGATCCGTCGTTGCGACCAACCAAGTTTTGACCAACAAGATGTCCTCAATTCTTGAGAATGCCGGACCTCTTGCCTTCATCGTCTTGGTCCTCTTCTTCTTCTTGCTCTGATTGGGATCGAATGTTGTCCCAACTTCAAATGTGGTGGTGGTCTCCAATTCATACTCATTTTGGTCGGATCTTCATTGCCATTGATCATGTTCGACAAGAACGCCTCCTACATGATTATGATTTGCAAGCATTCATCATGTCTGAAATGAACTAGTGGTCTATGCAAAAATCTGATCGGGTAGGAGGAAAGAAAACACACCGACTCTTGTTCGGTCATTCCATCGAACATGTCGGTGGCAGCCTGTGCACTGTGGGTGCCCGTGCTCATCCGTGTCCGAATGAGCTGCGGCGAGTCACACACGTTGACTACCAGCATCTGCGTGGGCGAAAAGTTGTCCGAAATGGCCTAGTCGGCCGTCAAATCATCCTCTGTACCAACGGGGTCAGACGGCATAATCCGCGTCCCAAAAATCCGGGTCCGCCTTTAGATCACTACTTTAATGATCTAAACACTCTTATATTTCTTTATAGAGGTTGTATTAAGCAATTGATATTACATATAGAGGATATCGTGTATGTCAGAAAAACGATATGTTCCACCATGATCAAGCTAAATGATCGTGTGATATATTATTGATAACAAAAGTGGTTACTTTAGGTCGATATATCTTTTCTCCAGTACACGTGGGAACATATCATTGCATTAATTGATAGGTAGATGGAATACTTGAGGGCTATCGGTAGGTCGATCTATCTATATATATTAATTAGACGATATAACATGTGCAACACACAACTTTAACAGTTTTGCTAGAACTTAGCTAGATGAGATTTAATTTGGTCTCATTCACCTTTTATAGCCACTGGATGTGATGCTATAAGATGCGTGTGTGCCGACGTGGATGGTAGAAACTAGGGTTCTACCGGGTCTAGGTCGGAGGTTGTAGGGGAAAGAGGGAGCTGGTCGTGGACGAACACGCGGACGCCGGCGGCTGGGCGCCGTCATGCGCGAGGAGGCGGCGGCTGAGAGGAGATGGCGCAGAGAAGGAGGGGGCTAGGGTTAGGTCTCCCGGCTCCCTAAGGAAGCCGAGCAAATATGATTGCTTCTTGCTTGATTAGATTGATACATCTCCTCTCCTTGTGTAAAGAGGTTTACTTGACTCCTAAGCAAACGATAAGATAATCGAGCTAAGCCCGTAATAATAATAAGATAACTTGGGCCACAACCCATTGGGCTAAGCCCCTAATATGACGGTCATAACACTTCTCCCCGCCGACACAAACAGCTCGTCCTTGAGCTGTAAGGTGGGGAAACGCTTGCTGAACTCCTCGAGGTGATCAACCAGCGTCAAACACCTTCGCGACAGCTGGGGCGGTCTGGTCGGCGGCGACGGCGTCCTCCTCAATGTAGTCTACAGCCTCCAGGTAGAAGAGTCGCGGGCAGACGTGGCCGGGCGTGTAGAGCTCGTCGCAGTTGAAGCACAACCCTTGGCGGCGACGCTTGAGTAGCTCGACCGAGGTGAGCCGGCGGAACGGGCGCGCCACGGTCGTGGCGAGGGGTACCGCAGAAGCCTGAGCAAGCCAACCCTGCACGGGAACATCTGGTCCAGGTAGCGGCCCAGTGCCCCGGGACGGTGATGCCTATTGCATGGCCACCGCGCGACGCTCGAACGCGCGGGCGTAGTACATGGCCGTCTGGAGGTCCTGGGGTCCCTGCAGCTCGACGTCCACGCGGATATGATCTGGCAGACCGCCGATGAAGAGTTCGGCCCGCTGGTGAGCCGTCACGCCGGACGCGTGGCACGCCAGGGCCTGAAAGAGGTCGGTGTAGTCTTGCATCATAGAGGTGAAGGGAAGGCGGCCCAACTAGGCCAGGCGGCTCCCGCGGATCGGCGGCCCAAAACAAAGGAGGCACAACTCATGGAAGCGCTCCCACGGGGGCATGCCACACTCGTCCTGCTCGAGGGCGTAGTACCATGTCTGGTCTACACCGTGGAGGTGGTAGGATGCCAGCCAAGTGCGCTCCGACGCGAGCGTGCGCTGCCCACGGAAAAACTGGTCGCACTGGTTGAGCCAGTTAAGCGGGTCCACCGTGCCATCATAAGTGGCGAAGTCGATCTTGGCGAACCATGGTGGCGGCTGGGTCGGTGCGCCATGGCCGACCGGCTCGGCGGTGCGGAGCAGTGATGATGACGATGCTCGGTCAACGGCGGGGAGGCCGTCGTAGGCCCCCGCCGAGCAGGACGAGGCCCCAGACTGCAATGTGGGTACTGATGGGTGCCCAGCCTCCGTGTAAACTAGCGGTGGCGGAATTGGGGACGATGACAACGGAAACTGGACCTGCTGGATCGGGAGGCCCCCCGGTGTGGACTGGCCCAGTCCGGAACTGGGCGGCGGCGGTGGAAGCTGGACCGGCGCGGCCGGTGCGGTTGGCGCGGCTGGGGCCGGCGCGGGCCAGTACGGCCACTACGGCACTTGGGCGGGCGCAAGAGGCGTGTGTGGCGCCGCGAGAGTCGGCGCGGGCCACTGCAGCCAGGACAACGCTGGGGTGGCCGGCGGCTGGAGCGATGGATGACCCCCGACGATCGCCACGGGAACCGAGTACCAGGGCAGGGCTGGCGGCGGAGGCGTTGGCGGCCTGTACGGACCAGCCAGGAGCAGCCGGATTCCTTGGACCGCGACGACCAGATCGTTGAGGACGCCGGTCATGGCCTCAAGGGAGTAGACGAGCGGCGTGGTGGAGGGTGATGGCGGCGAACCCGTGGAGGGGGGCGACAACTGGCCGGTCGATGCGCCGGCGGTGGAACCCATCGGCGCCGAGGGAAAGACCAGCGGTGACGTGGAGAGGATCGGCGATGGCGCGGCGGCGGTGGTGGTGAGGGGCAGCGGCGGGCTTGGTGGTGGTGATGACATGGTCGAAACCAAGCTAGCTGATACCAAGCTGGTAGAAACTGGGGTTCTACCGGGTCTAGGTCGGAGGTTGTAGGGAAAAGAGGGAGCTGGTCGTGGACGAACACGCGGACGCCGGCGGCTGGGCGCCGTCGTGCACGAGGAGGCGGCGGTTGAGAGGGAGATGACGCAGAGAAGGAGGCGACTAGGGTTAGGTCTCCCGGCTCCCTAATGAAGCCGAGCAAATATGATTGCTTCTTGCTTGATTAGATTGATACATCTCCTCTCCTCATATAGAGAGGTTTACTTAACTCCTAAGCAAACGATAAGATAATCGGGCTAAGCCCCTAATAACAATAAGATAACTTGGGCCACAACCCACTGGGCTAAGCCCCTAATATGACAGTCATAACAGTGGGTTGTATCCGTTTTTGTTTTCCAGGTGAATGAGACCAAATTACGTTTCATCTAGATGAGTTTTAGGTACTTTTCAATTTTAATACTCCATAATTCGGAAGGAACGGTCTGTCACCCAGCTGTCTCAATCATCATCCCGAATCGCCTTGTTCTCTCCGCTTCTTTCGTTTCCTCTGCCGGTTCTTAAACAAATTTCTTAGGGCATCTCCAACACTGAACCCTTAATTCGGATACCGTATCCGTCCGCAGATGACCTAGGTATGGGTCCGGTCATGGTGAGCATTAAGTGCTTCTTGGCCGCGCTCGTGCCCGAGTTCGAGTGGGCGCCACCGGCGTAGGGCGGCGACGATATCGACATGACTGACCTCAACGTGTTCTTCAAGGTGATGAAGAAGCCACTTTCCACCCGTGTCACTCGACGCATCTATGCCGTGTAGATCTTGAAGCAGTTCTTCTTGCACCTGCACATGTGTGTCCTGGATGGTTCATCAGTTCGCCAGTTAGCTTCTCGATCATGAGATGTGCCAGTGCATGCCATGTTCGTTTTAGCTCGCGGCACGTGCAAAAAGACACCATGTCCGACCTCCCAAGGCTCCACAATCTCCCACACAGGCACACCAAAGTAATTGCCTGTGTAAGGGCATGCATCATGCTTCTCCAAAGAATAAGACTGATTAGTTTCATCTGCAAAATGAGGCGATGCCATTGTTCGCATAAACTTGTTTGTAGTCTGTACAGCCAACAGGGGACCGCAGTTGTAGTGTGTCGGTACAAATTTCCCGGAGAGGCGCCATGGGCGCTCTGGTTGGCACCTTCTTGAGCTATTCTCTATTTCTCTGGCGAGGAAACGTTGCACACACGGCCTCCATCTCCACTTCATAAAAGGAGTGTTTAATTGGAAGTAGTAAATCTTTCTTCCAGCCCTTATCTTGAGTTTTTGACAGACTTGCCCACAAAATTAAATAACTCCTCTCGGAGCCCCTTCTCCTCCCCAAACCTTTCCAACTTCGACGACGCCGAAATCTTGGCTCTCCGCGCCGGCAATTGGCGTCGGCAGTGGATCTTCGTCAGGGTCATGGCGCCGCCACCCTCGCTCTCATCTCCTCGGGCAATGAGAGGAGCAGCCGCCACAACAGCAGTCACGACTCCTCGCAGAGGCCGCTCTGACGGATGAGGGATGGAGCTCATGACGGAGCGCTCGCGCTGGGAAGACTTCTTTTAAAATTTAGACTCCACGTTAGACAGGGAAGAAAATGTTTTCAGTGTTAAATAGGGCTAAAAAAATTCAAGACAGTAGTGTCCAGAACAACCTATGCCCCGCACCAAACAGCATCATCTTCGTCTGATAATCTCCTCGGGACCTGCTGACGGCCCGACGCCCTCCGCCTCACCTCCAGCCAGGAACCGCTCAGGTTGGAACTCGTCGGGATCCCTCCATGTCCTCCTGTCCTCCCAATGTCCCCCACAACAAACCGCACGTTCAAGTAGCCGCTGCCCGGTACGGTACGTAGTTTCACCCGGCAACCTAGCGTCATCGGCGTAGGACGAACGGCACCGACGGGTGCATCCGGAGGGTCATACCGCGTCGCGAGGCACGAGGCGGGCGATCCATGACGGTGATGAAGAACCCGCGGAATTCGGTGAGGTTCACCGCGTTGTCCTCTCCGTCGGCCTCCCACCACTCGAACTCCTTGACCAGGTTGGCCACGAAGTACTCGAGGTGCAGCATCGCCGGCACGATCGCCAGGCACGCGCGCCTCCCGGCTCCGAATGGCATCATTCTGAGCTCCCTCGTGCAGGTCAGGTCCGTGTCCTCGCCGTCCCCGCCGGGCATGAACCGCTCAGGCGTGAACTCTGTCGCATCCGACCACGGTACCGCGTCGCGGGCGATCTTCCCAACGAGGAAATTCGCCGTCGCGCCACCGCCCGGCACACTCGTCAGGCCGACCGCCTCCGCGGCCTCCTTGCCCTCCATCCGGCGCACCACAAACGGAAACGGTGGGTGGCGCCGCAGGCTCTCGAGCACGACGGCCTTGAGGTAGGGCATTCGCGATAGCTCGGCCTCCTCGATGATACGCTGGTTGCAGCCAATGGCGTCGACCTCGATCCGCAGCTTCTGCTGCAGGTCGGGGCGTTTTACGAGGTTGGCCATCGTCCATTGTAGGGCAGCAGCCGTGGACTCCAAGCCGGCGCCGAGGAACTCCGAGATGAGGCTGACGAGTTCGCCATCCGCGACGGCCCGGCCGCCGTCTTCATGGATTCGCAGGTCCAGGAGGGACTCCACGTAAGTCTTGAAGCTGGCGTCATGCTTGTCCTTCCGGTTATTCTTGACCTCGGCGACGAGCGGCAAGAAAGATTCTTCTTGCTGCCGCCGGAGAGAGAGAAGCTGGCGCCACCGTGATGGGTAGATGAGCTTGCTCATCCTCGGGTACCTCACAAGCACCCCAAAAGAGGGCAACGCGACGAGGATGTCACGCTGGAACTTCTGCATGGCACGGAGGCGCGTGTCCCCGAGCTTGGAGACGACGTCCTTGCCGAAGCACATCTCAACGAGGACAGAGTACACGGCGAAATAGAGGCTCTCGGCTGCCGGGGCGCCGGATCTGAGGTCGCGCGCCAGGTCGCCCAGCACGCGGGCACGGGTGTCGCTGAGTCGGAAGAGGCGAGATGGGTGGAGGACACCGGCAGCTACGTTGCGGCGGACGGCGCGCCAGTACGGGCCGTATGGCGCCGACAGGATGTTATGGTGGCGGTCACGTGTGAGGATGGTACTTGGCACCGCGCCGGTGGGGCGGTCGAGGAAGGCGGCGCTGTGCTCCACCAAGGCGCGGTGCGCTATCGCACGGCCTGTCACCTGGATGGAGAGGCCACGCCGGGTGCCCCGCGCAACCCGAGTGGTCACCGGCGCGAGCTTACGCAGCCAGCCTGTCACGTGCTCAATTCTACGACGGTGAGCGGTCAAGATGAAGACAGCAACGAGGAGAAAACACAGGCTGGCGATGCAATCGGGGAGAGGCGTGAGCACGCCGATGAGGTGACCCATTGTCAATGGAAAAACCTTAGCTAAAGATGCAGATGAAGACCAGTATTTGTAGTCACTCAGGGCATATTTGGTTGCCAGCCATTTTGGCCTCTTTTGTGGAATTAATTAATAGAGATGGCTGCACGCATCGGTTGATGCACACGTTAGGGGTTTAACCTCCTTTTTCAAAAAAAGAAAAAAAAATGCCCCTTTGCTTATGTGGCCCTGTAGAGTCTGGGTTAAGGTAATGCAGGCTATAAATCATGTTCCGCACTTTTTTTGATACATGCATTGCATTATGAGATAGGTATTTTTACATGCGTCATGGAGTAGCTTGACACATGGCGTGTGGTTGGCAGCAGTAGTTGAGGGTTATGGATGTAAAGATGCAACAGTTTAGCTACATATCAATTGCCTGAATTCTTTCTTTTGGTTCAGTTCATTTTTTTACTCGAACTTCCATGCATGCGTGAATTGCATGATGCAAAATTTTAAGTGGGGTTATCTTTTGGATTAGCTGTATGCATGTGGTGTCATGCCTGCCGGTATACGCTGCACCTTTTCTTTTTTCTTTTTATGCGAGTTTTTTTTATGCGCCCCGTGTGTGTGAGTGTGTTTTGTGTGGGCGACAGAGACGAATCTTTGACATTTGTATGTGTTCCATTTTGTTTTTCTGGTCGGGTTTTTTCTATAGGGGTATTTTTGAATGTTGGGTGAGTACATGTATAGACGCAAGAACTATATAATATAGATATAAATTATATTTCCTCCGTCTCATAATATAAGAACGTTTTTGACATATGAGATGGAGGGAGTAATACATTACTCTATTATATTTTTATTATTCTCATATTACAAAATTTGTCATTTCAGTGCTAAATCTTGTGCATGTTTCCCCCCCTTTTTCTTAAGGGTATTATCAGGGTTCAAGTCATGGACTTGCACCCGTGCTCGTATTATGTGATTGTCCAATTGTACTATGCCAAAAAATGCCACAATTCATTCTCTCTTTAAAAAACTGTATTATTTTTATTTTTTATTTTTTGTTTCATTTTTTCTACTTCTGCATATAAGGCTAATACCAATCGATGCAACTATTCGTTTTTCTTAGAAAACTTCATCATTGTCAAGTGAGAGGACACTACTAGGGAAAACCCTAGCAGTAGCGTGGGTTTTTTGCCTATCAATAGCGCGGGACGACGTGCTAATGATAAGGCGCTACTTCATCCCACGCTACTGCTATACATGGCTAGCAGTAGCACGTTTTAGTTCAGAGCGCTGCTGCTAATATCTGCAGCGCTTTTTAGCAGGAAGAGCTACTGGTAAGGGAGTGCTACTGCTAACTTTGTTCCCCTCGCTACTGCTAGTTTTATTAGTTTCTGTTTTTTTCTGCATATTTGTTTTGTATTTGAATAGGCTTTATACAATAATCTTTAGCATATCATACACATACAAATGTAATCATAGCATATACATATAAATAGTCTCATCAAATCATGTCATCGTCATAATCATCATCCAGCACAAAGTGGTCTCTTGTCATCATCTCGAAAATAACGATACAAGTCTCGATTACTTGCAACCACATCGTCATCAGTCTAAACAATGATATACGCGAGAAGAGCTATCACTATGAGTGAGAGCGGAACTATGCAGTACATGAGTTCGTATCCCTCTCTCGCATTAGCGTGAATCTAAACTAACTACTAGCTGTCGCTCGGAAACCAGAAACCGGTACACCTGGGCCTGACACTCCGGCCACTCGTCGTATACTCCTGGCGTAGCACTTCTTCCCCATCGATGATCTATGCACCTGCATCGTCACATGAGTCGATGATATGCAACATATATAGTTGAGCAACAGAAAGAGAGAGACTTGGCAAAAATGGAAGCAACATATCATAAGCATAAATAGCAAAGTTCATCGTACCCAAAATGCCCTAACTAGAGTGATTTTCGCAAGTCGAGGAGGAGGACGGTCTAATTACATCACAAATAAAGTTTCGTCGTGCATACCTCAAAGTTTTGTCATACAGAAAGTATGGACTAAACGGACACATTGTCATATATCGACAATCACTCCAACATGTCGTTCCATCCATCCATGTCAGGGAGATAGTCCCCGAGCTGAGTGAAAGGCTTCATGTCGAGACGCTGAGAGGCTACGTGTGTTCGGACGTCTTCCCACGACATTTGTCCTTCTTCGTAGAACATCCCTGTTTTTTCGACGACCTCCTTCATGATGATATGGGCAAGTTCACGCTGGATGTGATAGAACTCAGCTCGAAGTCGATGAACCTCGATATCTCCTAAGTCCTTTGCCCATTGCAGAATATGGGCATCGCCGGATCTAGGTGACATGCGAAGGTTCTGGTGATCCCGTCTGTACTCCAGCATGTGGTGTAGGACATAGAATCCATCATTAAGAGAATCACTCGGTTGTTGGATGCAGTAGAAGTTGGTCTTATGGCTGAAGGCGGGCCTGTCGTCCCTTGTCTTCTTGTCGTTGAACTCTCCACCCCGTTTGCTGTAGTAAAAGATAGCACTATCGAGAACAACTTGATGTGGGTGTAATCCTTTTTGGTAATGTTCTTCGAAGAGTCCAAGTAAAGAGCGTGGGAGTATCGGGGGTAGAGGATCATGAGGACGGCGTGCCCGCCGCTGCGCAAAATAAGTACACATCAAATTAATTAGCCTCCATCGTGCAAATGAATGATTGACATCGAAGGAAGGATATCCGCGCGGATAACTTACAGGGGATGATAAGGCACGAGAATCGCCTCCTTGTCCTTATTGGCGAGCATGAAATTGATGAGGTAGTCCCTCGCGTATTCACAGTGCTTTGCACAGACTGCCAAGCCCTCAGGCATGAAGTACGGGTCAGCGACACAGATAAAAGGTATCTGCTCAACCTCGATGAGGTAGTTCATGTGCAAGGCATAAAGGCGGACAAACGTAAAATCCTGCTTCTTCCAGTGAAACATGTCGAAGATGTAATCGAATCAAAGTAAGAACTTCTCCGCGGTGGGAATGTGTGGACGTACGACAATTGCCACAGCACGTTAACCACGTAGAGTGGGTATCCTGGATTTTCTGAGGCAAGGAGGCCTTTCTCTATCTGCAGCACATCGTCATGAAGTCTCCTTACATCATCGAATCTGGCCCCTATCGCTGCTTTAGGTAGGATTGGTTCACCGACGATATGCCATTTTGCTGCACCGGAGATATCTATACGGTCTTGAACCCGAGGCTGCTGAGGCGGCTGGATAATAGAAGCAGCTTTGTTGCCTTTCATCGGTCTCTTCCTAGACTTCTTTGCTACCGGAAGGTTGTCCATAATACGTTCAGACTTCGGAGGCGGCAATTCAGGCACCGACTCATGACGCTCAAACCCTAAGTAGGCGCCAGTATGGACATACTGTTGAGTGTCATCGTCATCGTCATCCTCATCTATGGCGACGTCACCAGCAACTAATGGAGCCTCTTCCTCACCCCCTCTGCTATCACCCAACACGACAGCCGACGCTAATTGGGTAGGTGAGGTGTTGATGTTCATACCTAACTGCGTGCTCATGGGTGTGCTCCCGGCCGCCTCCAGACAAAGCAGACTCTTTGGCCACAACAGGACCCACCCATTGCAACAATCACCAAGCCGTCGTGGGGCCTGGTCGTCATCCCCCACTAGTACCAGAGGAGCCAAATTCTCGTGGCCCGGTTTGACACTGGCCACGGAAACCTTGAAGACGTCCGGGGGGATCGACCGACTGTGGAACAATGGTTCCTTCGGCTCCATTATCGTCGCCTTCTTCACGTCCACCTTCTGGTCGCCGATGGTGTACAATATGGTGCACGGGGTTTCGTCGGCCTGCAAAGAAAAGTCTGCGACGTGAGACATTCAAAAGGCAACGAAAACAAGAGATTATACATTTATTGAAGAGGGCCGGTGTGACAAATACCGTGAGGGCGTCGAGCTCAGCCAAAGATGAAGCACCGCCGAGCACGTCCGATGTCGGAGCCGGTGTGGGAGCAGGTGCAGCTGCAGGTGCTGGTGCTAGTCGAGCTGCTCCCGAGAAGTCAGCGAGGGGAAAGTCCGCTGCATTTTTTTCTAGATTTTGCCCGCTCCAATTGAAAACGGCTAGAACCAAGGTAGTAGACATATCTACAAGCACCTGTTTTGCGGCAGCTACTGTTGTGGTTCTAAGTCTGACAGTAGTGTAGGGGGGTAGGAATGGAGAGGCAAGATCCTAGCTATGGAGTAGTTGTATACGCAAGGGATTTACGAGTTCAGGCCCTTCTCGGAGGAAGTAACGACCCTACGTCTCGGAGCCCGGAGGCGGTCGACTGGATTATGTGTGTATGAGTTACAGGGGTGCGAACCTTTTACACTAAGGAGGGGGGTGGCTTATATAGAGTTCGCCAGACCCCTCCGACCCTCAGTTATGTAGGGTTTAAGGTACATTAAGATCGGGCGTTACCGGTAACGCCACAAATAAAGTGCTATGATGACCATAAAGTCTACTTAATAACCAGCCGATCATGTGCAGAGTGACTTTAGATCTCCTGGCTGTCGAGCTGTTGGCTTCATGGTCGAGTGTCTTTGAGCCCGTCGAGTGGAACACTTCTGAGTCGATTGAAAGGCGGTTTCTTCTAGAGATGTCCTTGGAGAGGGTAGTTTGGACAGGTCCATGACCCTACCCTAGGTACATAGCTTCATCATTAGTCCCCAAATGGATCGAGGTTTGAGTGGGGAAGGAGTTGAGAACTCTTCCGACCCATTTTTCATGCTATGAGTGTATCTTGTTCTGGATCCATGAACTTAAGTAACGACACCAACTTCTTTTTCGGTCACCTTGATCCATTCTTGGTTTCAGTCGAGTGAATTTCTTTACTTGAAAAGCTCCGAGTGACGGTGTGGAGGAGATCCTCCGTCTGACAAGTTGCTCTACTGCTCGCGGATTTTGCGGGATTCGAATTTTGGGAAGCGCGCGGGGCGGAGGATGCCGCAGTAATCGGATGAGATA